CGATGAAACCAATGCAAGGAGAATAGAATATGTTTTGCGACGTAGCTAATCGAGATAGTTTATGGTATCTTCTTGTTGAATTAAAACGACGACGACGACGTATTTATTTGTGCAAGCCAAAACCGTACTCGTGAGTTTCTTGTCTTCTTCGAGAAGTGGACTCGACGTTGCGACGATACGTGTAATATTTTCCTTCTTCTTTTTGTTCGATACGTACCCAGGACGTCTCCGTTTGGAATTTCAAAGAAAATTCTCGTCGAGATAATTTCGCTTTGAAAATAGAATCGACGATTTATCTTTCGTGCTACTCGTAAAGATACGTACGTGCGGAGATGCATAAACCGAAGGACGAGTGCACGCGAATCGCATTCGCGAATCGAGCACGTACCGACGTTTTCTAGCGAGCATTTTCCGTTCGGCGATTACGCTCGTTGTTAATTATTACCGTCGAAGCACCCGCAATTTTGTCAATTACGTACTGTTACATCGCAACTCGTCTCATTACCGGGAACCTACTGCCTACGCTTCCTATATTCCTACATGTCATTGTTCGCTGTTCTTTGAATCGAGACCGAGCAACTAAGGAGGAGAGATCGAATCCTTCTCTCTCGCTCTTCTTATTTTCTAATCCTATTCCTTCTTTTTCGCTCCGATTGGTAACTGAAGACGTTTTCAGCGTTATTAACAAGAAACGTTGGTCTATCTCGATCGAACGTAGAATATGCTATTGAGAGAGAAACAGAGAGAAAGAGAAAGACACGATATCGAGGTATGAATCTTTATACGAATCAATTTACATAATTAAGTAATCCTCGCATCGATGAAACCGACTTGCCGTTGCTTTGATCGCGCTGCTCCTCCCTCAGTATGCAACCCGTTGTTGGAATTAATTTGCGCGTTAGCTCTTTCGATAGTTGCGCGTACGACATGCAAGACGTGGGAAAGCATCAGAGCCAGTCAAAGAACGAAATAAAAACGAATCACCAGCGCTCTCGTATTATACGGCTGCAACAGAGCGTGTCTTTGTCACGTATTTAAACATTGACGGAAGCAAAAGGGGGCATACGTTGTTATGCGAATCGGCACGATCGACCGCGATTTTTTTTCTTCCCTAGCATCCATCCGGTCGTTGTTGCGTGCCGATCTGACCTCGACGTATAAGAAGCGTTGAGCAGATCGGTGGCTTGTTGTCTTTCAACGTTAATGAAAGTCAGCTGGTTCAAGGGAGAGTTGTTTTGGGGTTGGATTGGTATGATTGAGGAATGTAGATTGTCGTAAGAGAGAGCTTGAATTCGTAAAATGATAAGATTTGAGTGAGTTTGATAGACGAATCGTGAACTGTCGTATGTCGATGGGTTGCTCCGCTTCTGTGCCCACTGCGCGATTGCCAAAAAACATTAACTGTCTGTTTTCCTTGTGCGTTGGTCTTATATAGCTGTGGATTCTATGGTTACGGGATTAGGGAGGTATGCTAATTGTTTCCAGATGTGAGCGAGATCGGTCTCAGAAAGTAGTATTTGCACTTTCTAATGGTCCCAGGATGTGTCTTGGATTTATGGATGTCGTAGAAAAGTATAAAGACATTTACCGAGCCTTAGAATTGAGAGTCGGGCATAATTACAACAATGAAATAAAAGTAAGGGAAAAATATGAAGTACGGTCAAGGGAAATCTCTGCCGTGGAGAAAATAGTGAATATGAAAGTTTTATTTTTGGCTCGATGAATTTATTTTTCGCTTCTCTTTTTCGAGTTCGTTTATGATGGGGATCATTGCGATGAAGAAACTTACCGAGCTTTGGAATTGGTAGTCCGGTATGATTACAATAGAAGATACAAAGTAACGAAGGTCATGAAATATGGTCACGGGAGATCCTTGCCGTCGAGAAATTAGAAATTAGAAAATTGCTTTCCCTGGCTCGATGAGTTTGTCCACCGCGGTACGAATTTCATCCCCATTGTGTTCGGCAAGACCAAATAGTCGTGTTAAATCGTTTTCATCAGTTTGTGCGTGTCAGGTCCATCTGCTGGTGGAAAATTCGAGTACATTTGCCGTCGATTGAGATTCAACGTCGACGATACTTTATTATTTACCTTTAATAAATATGTTCTTTATCACTGTTCATTATCGATAAATATTTCTCGAGTGGTTTGGAATAGGTGATATTGCCCTCAGCGAGCTCCCCTGCCAGTTAGAGACAATGCTGCGATATCCATTTTTATCATACTCGCGACTAGATGTTATTTGTTTTCCTGAGCTTAATGTCGCATCAGTTGTTAAAGTTATTGAGGTGGGATTATAAGATTGTAGGGAACTGTGATATTGTGAATGAGAATGACTATTGGATCCACAGTTTTAGATGAACTCCAAATCGTCGAACCTACGAAGCATATTTACATGTCATGCGAAAAATTCTAGAACACTAAATTGTGTAATTGTTAATTTTCGGGCTTTATCCACGTAACCACCGCGGGTTCAGGGACTAATCAAACTAAATCGCTGCGAGAAAAAGTACTTCATTTTATTTATACGGTTTGATACCGTGACCGCGCACGGTCGCCAAGATAAGATTTGTATGCAGAAAATGAAAGATGGCGACAAGGTCCTCTTTGTAATCGGGTGACGGCGTGTACGTGTGCACGCGCTAACGCGTGACGATCTATCACGCCTACGAGTCTACGATCTCTTCGACCACCGTCGTCTTCGGTTCGATCGATCGTACGATACATTAAGGATGCCGCTTTTGTTCAAGTTTCGAATCACGATCTCTCTGGGAGGTTGTCGAGGACGTGCTGCTGCATGGTCGAGCGTTTAAGCCGCGCGTAAAATTCTGCTCTTGGCGCGTTTCTTCCTATCTGGCTAAGCAAGTTTTTGCCGTGGCTTTTATTTGAACAGCCGTCGAGACTCAGGCTTATAGCGCATAGTTGAAAGTTATCAAGCAAGGTTCACGCAATAGAGATATTTAATAACGCGCATGGAGCGCGCGTGAAAAGCGCGCCGCGCCTCTTTCGACCTAATTTTAAAACATACCACCGGCGAGCGCGTGCCAAAAGGAAACGCAATTCTTGCCGTAACATCGACAGCGTCGGATATCTAAGGATTTCTTCGCTCTCACGATGCCATACCTACCAATCGTGAAATCGAGAATGCCTCTTGAAGCATTCTCTTCATCTCTCCATCGTTTAGAGTCTAGATCGTGCCTAGGAAAATCTATTGACTCACGGACGTCGTGCAGTGTATCGTCCGTCATTCTCTGGGTGTTCGCAGAAATATCTTCTTATTTCTGACGTCCTAATTAGTATGGTTATGCCACTTTAAATCACACGTTCATTTCGTTCGACCGTGTCTTTATCTACCAAAGAGACCTCGACGAAAGAGAAATATTCTACGCGTTTTGGAGGGACAGAATGAAGTGATTAAAAATAACGGCAAACTAGGGAAATTAACTATGGACGCGTCGATTGAAACTGAATCCCTCTGCCTCGTAGCTGCGTGACGAGGAAGAGTCTATCAGTTGGCTTTCCGATGGGAAATCGATCGGTCCTTCCGTGCCTAGGACGCAGGGCAAAGGGTTGATACGGCGTTGGTACTGTGACCTTGAACAGGATATTCGAAGCAGAACGCCTGCGCAACCGGATTCGATCATCCCACGTCCGGGGATCCTTGTATCGCGTCACCTCTCTCTCTGCGTGTCCCCCCTTTTACCTTGGAAAGTCGCTTTTCACTTTCACGTCCCTTTCTTCCCTTTCAAGTACACGCGCGGCCCTTTCACGTGATTCGAGTAGCGGGAGGAGACCCTTGGTGCGCGCGAGAGCACGTGCGTATGCATTTGAGCGTATCGCATGCAACACTTTCACGATAAGAGCGAGAGTAAAGGCTGATCGTAAAGAATGAAATCTGATTCTGACCCCGTCAGCATTGACATTTACGAGACACGGAAAGGGGGGCCGGGGTTTTCGATTCATTCTCTTTCTCCCCGATACTCTCGCGGATAGAGGGAAGAAGTGATTTAAAGCCACGTTTCTGTCTTACCTCTTTACTATTTCGCCAAACGAATTTCGCCTATTGAATTTCCGAGGGCGTGAAGAGGTCCGGACCTCGAGCTCCGACTCATTTTATTAGCGATTTATTTTTACGTGTTTGAGTCGATAGGAAGTTTTTGCCTATTCCGGACTTTTTAAGTCGTCAAATGTGGTGGATCTACGTTGGATGCGAACGATTGCCGGGAGTCGAAAGTTTTTCAGACAAGAGATCACGATATCTGTCTGGCTCGATTTAGTCACTGATAATATTGACGCAAACAGCGTCTGCTTCTTCCTTTTTTTTTTCCTTTTTATTTTTTACAAAGTGTCACTTTTATATCAGCAATTATACCGAGATTTTTTCGTCGCGCGCGTTAGAAACTACAGACGCGCTCATTCAGTGGACTTTGTCGTAGCTGGTCTCAGATAAGAGTAAACTCGTGCCAATAAACCGATTGCAGTTCTATGATAATTTTTTCATCAATTAGGAACGTATCTTGCGTGTTAAGTCGATGAATCGGGGATTTATCGATGATTACGTTGCACGACAAGAGAACAGAGAAAGAACGAACGAAGATTATAAGGTTACTCTTGCGAATAATCTCGATTTCGTTTGATAAAAGCCGTCAACCTCTGCCACTGATCGAGCGACGGTAGTATTTTGATAATGGTGCGTCGACCCGCCTTCTTTTTTCCCCGATTATTAAAAATCGTGTACGCGTTAGCTTCAACGAATATATAATCCGGTAGAAAAATTGTTCCTGAGCTGTCTGAAGAAAGTGTTTCTACTGGACGTGAAATAAGACGAGAGCCCGTTGAGCGGTGAGAAGCCTGTAAGCTGAGCGCACACATAGAGGAAATGGTGGTGGAATTTCCACGAAGCGGCTTCGATCGCTCGGCAAGCCCGGGTCCGATAGTCGCTATGTACGTCGGTGGCTCGCATAAAGACCACGGAGAGAGCCGAAACGAGACGGAGAGTACCGAAGTGTAACGCTGTCGGTCGAGCACGAGCAACCCTCAGGCTGGCTGCAACTGCTATGGCTATTGACCGAACTTGGCGGACCGGCCGGTCAGCTGTGCGCCGAGCCGCAAGAGATATTCTCTGTGCTGAGGAATTGTCATAGATGTATGACTCGCGGCCGGTGACAACAGCAAAGGGATTGGTTGAAGAAAGGAGTTGAGTGTATGGAAACGTTGAATGTTTCGGCAACGAAATCGGCGAAGGTCGAAAAGCAGAGGAGAAATAATATCGGACCAGCTAAACGCAGAGTCCCAGCCAAATTTTATAGTACGTGATCGCTACTGAACGGAAGACATTCGTGTTGTGTACTTCGAGACGTCGAATGATAATCTCTCGCGACTAACGAGCCAAAGCTTGGAAGCGTTTCCCGTAATGCTTGTGAATAATTAAACTAATACGGTGTAGATGGACGGATCGGCGTGATCAAAAAGCGGATGAAAAGAGCAGCAAATGTAGAAGAAAAGAAGAGATTGTTGGTACGTAGACCGGCTGCGTATGGCTAATAGACGAGCGAAGGAGAGACGTGGAAGAAGAGGCAAGGGAACATGAAATGTGTGAGAGAAAGAAACAATAGTAACAGAGGTGGAAAAAGGGGGCGAATGTAACGAAAAGAGTGAAGGAACGAAGTTTTGCAGAGAGAAAAAGGGAGGGGGAGAAAAAGAAAATATATTGCAAAAGAAAGAGATAGGTATATAGATAGGTATGGTGCACATACATGCAGAAAGTGACGTATGTGTCGTGGTCGTATGTGCAGGTGTGCGCGTGGTGCCGGTGCAAAAAGTGCAGTGTTCAGTGGACTTTTCCATCTCGTGCGTGCACTGTTTCTGCGAATAGGCACGTATATGCCGGTGTGAACTGTTCGGAAAACGAGTAATATAGTAAGAGAATTCGAATGTTACAATTCTTCTACGCTGGGAGCTCGATTAACGAAAGAAAAGTCTTATTGTAAGCGTTACTCGGAGCCGTGTCGAAATTCGGACGTGTCATTTCGAAGGAATTGGAAGATTCTTCTCTCGATATTGATTTGAAAAAACCTATTCGGAGTCGTTCGTCTCGATAGAACGGATCTGCCAAGGAGAAAAAAAAAGTGCATGTAACGAGAAAAGGAACGAGGTAATAAGATCGTCCGACGAACTGCTTTACCGACAGATTCGTTGACTCGCTGTTGGTAAGGTGGCTCCACAGTGATCTATCGACGAGGAAGAACGCGAGTCAGATCGAGGAGACGCGGCAGTCGCGAATTATTAGTACTCGTGATAAGGGCAAGAGCAGATGTGTTCTAGTTTGTGATCAATGATCTTTACGCGGATCGTTTGAATCGATATCCACTGCGAAAAGTGGAAAATACGGAAACGGTATCAATCGATAGTGAGAAATGAGTGAGAGAGAGAGAGAGAGAGAAAGAGAGATGTCAATTCGCGCAACGTTATATGTGATTTGGTGAACTCGTGAAATTAGACGAACACGTTTCAACCACAAATGATCGTTTTTCTATTCGTCGGTCGCCGCAACACGGTAACTATTTCGTAACTGTCTTAGCCTTATTCTATTTAATTAACGAAAAGAATCACTTTAAGTCACTCGGAATCGCTCTCTCGAATAACCCACGAGGATCCCTCTTGTCTATACAAGCTCGTGGGACTACGTTGAAAATCGTTCGGTGTCGTTGCTTGACGAAACCGGTTTCGTTCGGCTCGGCGAATCTCGGCGTTTATACAAAGGTCGTGTGTGCACACGAGAGAGAGAGAGATTGAGAGAGAGGGAGAGAGAGGGAGAGAGAGGAGGGAGCGAGGAGTGAGATTTATGGAAAACAAATTTCCACGAGGTCACACCCACGGGAGCGACTCTTTTTCTCTCTATTTCTCTCATTTTCTCTCTTTTTTGGTCTGTTTTTTTTTATTTTCTTCTCTTTAATCGTCTTCAGCGCTGTCCGTCTCCACTTGGACTATAAATAAGGAATAATAAAGGACGAAATTGAGAAAGGCAGTTCGAATCACGTCGATCGAGAATAGATTATCCATTGGAAATCCAGCGGATCTTCTTTTCTTCCTGGACAACGAAAGAAAGCTATATGATAGAAGCAGCGTTGATGATATATGAGCGATCTTGCAACACGACTCGACCGAAGGGATCGCATCATTTATACATGAGAATCTGACGACGACGACAAGAACATATCGCTGTGGACGAAGAGAGTAAGTAGAATAAGTACAACTTCGGTCGCAACTTCGAATGTGCGTTCTCTGAGAGAAGGGAAATCAACAGAGAAGCAATCTTGCTAGAAGCAGAGGAGACGAGGCGAATACGAAGGCGAAAGCGACAATGAGGGGCAATTCGCGTCTGTCGAAGGAGGCGCAGGATTCGCCAGAAAACCGCAGCTCGAACTCGACAGCTTCCGTGGAAGCGTTTAATAAAACCTAGTCGTGGCTAGAGATTTGATGTTTGTGATCAGCCTGGACGATGAAGCGGGCGTCGAGTGCATCCGCTGCAGCTGCTGCGACCGCCGCTGTCTCGCAGGTGCAGCCTGCGGTCAACTTACAGGGCAGGATACACGATCTCTTTAGCCCGATAACGACGGCAGGCAGCGCGAGCAGAGAAGAAAACGAAAAGCTCGCCGGAACGACCAAAGTATTGGTCAAGGGGAATCGGAACGATGACGCTAAGGCTAAGTCCACGACTATGTCGCGGCTCATAGCTGTTGACTCTGACAATTACATGCTCCGGAAAGGCGCCACCTCGGTAAACGCCACTTCCGTCGCCTCGACGTCCACCGTCGTCGCAACGATCGTGCCGTCGAATTCGATATCGAACAGCGCCTCCTCCACCACAATCAGTCCCAATCTACAGCTGTATCCCCGACAGCGTAATTTCCACGCTAATCTATTCGTTATAACGAATGGTGGAACTTATAGCGATGTCCAGACTATTACTTCACGAACTATCTCTAGCGACCAATCACCTAAAGGAAGTGTTGCGTTGTCTCTACTCAGACGACAGTCACGTCTTTTTGGCCAGGAATACGCGCGTCTTTGGCCAAATGGATTGTTTCCCTGTGCTAGAACATACTCGTTCCATCAGTATCTGTGCTCGTGCGAGCATTCGCCACCGCAACAGAATGGCGCACCATCGGTGAATGGCGTTGTCGCTCACGATCTAATGGCAGAGGATGGTGTCTATTCGAATTTAGTTGGTCACGAGAGCTTCGATGGTGATAGCGGGCAGCGTGTCCTTGATAAGGATACCGGAGCCATTCGCGAGTCGACTATTGTACGCAATTTATGCTGTTGCATGTGCGGTTCTCTATGTCCTCCAGAGTGCCATGCGTGCTTCCACGTGGTCTGCTCGGACTACAGCGGGCAGCACCTCTGCCAATGGAGTAGCAAGGGTCACGCGCTACCGGGCCAGGTTCTCGACAAGGACAAGGTCAGTACGATCTCTCGACGTATCGTTTTTTTTTTCTTTTTTTTTTACATTTAAGCACAAGAACAGGGTCAGTACGATCTCTCGTTTTTTTTTTTTTACATTTTTTTTAAATTTGCAGCTGCATTTCTCTTTATCTTTCTCTTTTATATTTTATTTCATTTTCCTTTCTATTGTCGGCACGTGACGAATGTCACCGATAAGCTGCGATTGGATAAACATTGCGCTCTTATCTTTGAACATGTTACACGCGCTACACGCTGAATCATTTTTTTCGTTCAAGTGTCCACCTGAAGTGTTCGACAGAGAACGCGAAGAGAATGAATCGTTCGTGTTGAAACGCAGAAGGGATTTAATTCGAAATTGTTTGGAAATAAATTCAATTACTCGGGGAAGCCATACGCTCTCGCCGAGTAGCTTTTACTTCAAACTTTTTCGCCGGTAATCGATTCGAGTTTCCAGTCAAAGTTCAGATTTTGCATGGTTCGCGACGCGTTGGACGTCACGTTTTTGTATTCTATTCAAAATTACGTTGTAAATCAACGACGATCGGGAGACGAAGTTAACTCGCTCTCTTGTTTTGAGAAAGAGAACGCAGGAATGCTTTTGTTCGAGTGTTCGCGGTGCACGGTAGCCTGGAAACACCGAGGTTTACAAGGAAAATTGTTTATCGTTTCTCCTGTTACTCGACTTCGGAGGTGAACCAACTGGTTCCACGTTTGAAATTTATCTCCGTATCTTTGTTTAATTTGCATAAATTGCAGACACATACTCGCCACCGTTTCCGAGCATTGGAAGTCTGTCTCGAATACGCGTTTTCTTCTCCTCTTTACCCGCCTGCTGTCTGTTCGGGACATGACTTTGTACACAAACACTAGCCGGGTTTCGTTATCAGAGCGAAACCTACTTGAGATTTGATGGCGTAACGACCTAAATCGTAATGCTGCTGCTGTTGCTGCTGCTACTGCTGTCTCTGCAGAAATTTTCGGAAAAGAATCGAATCTCTGTTGGATCGGTGCTCTCGCACGAGATCTCTTTATTTTTTTCTTTCTTTCTTTCTTTTTTTTGTTTTTTATCAATAATCTTCGTCGTCACTGGGATTTATCTATAATTTTCCATAGGAAGACAGTGGTGGAAAGCGTTTAGGAACAATCTAATCTTCACGGTTAATTACATAGTGATATGTACACACACGTTTTCCGACAATTTGTCTGTTTGCGAAATCAGATGAACACGCGAATGGCAACACGTCCGTAGCTGTATTCATATCCAGCGAACGTAATTTCCGACCTAGCGCCAAGGCCAAAGAAAAGACTATGTTTATTCTTTTAATCGTGTACATGCAAATCGTGCTTCATTTTCAGATTCGCACACGGAATTCACATTTCCCTCGGGACGAAACAAAACGAGTTGCTTGTTTCTTCGAGACGCGTTTCTTCATCGTTTATCGTTTTAATCCGATTAAGATTACGTAGCTCTGAACAACTTGACGAATAAACGATGAAAATCACGTTCACGTGACGATCGTACGAAACGTATCCACCGCGTGGATATTCGCAGGAGAGTCTCTTTTCGAGTAAGTGGTAGGCTTCGTTATCTCCGTTCGTGTCGCTATCGACTTAAGGTTATGTTTTCTTTTCCCTTTGATTTTTAAGCTTTCTCGATATGATATTGGTGCTGATTCGTCCCTCGTTTTCTCTTCATTACGCTAGTCTAATTAGAGTTTCTGGTCCACTACTCGTGTCTGCCAACATGTTTACCGATTTCATGGCTAAAGGATAGTTTTTGAAAGGATAATGTTTTTCATTGAGATTGAATTTCGAGCTTCGCGAATGATACATGCTTACCTTGATGTTTGGTTGTAACTGTAGAAAAGGCGACGAAAGACGAGGAGCCGTCTAAGCGCCTTTGATCATCGTGTCTGTCTGATCATAGGACGGACGAATCTACTTATTCTCGCCAGATTGTTCCCTCGTGTGATCGGTATATGAGAGACAAAAAAGTTGTAAAGTTCTTGAATTAAACGACATATGTATATATTCCTTTAAAGTTTAAATCAATCAATTTTATTTTCTGACAATTTTTTAATGTTTTAATGCCAGAGTGTGTGACTCGCGTCAGAAGTCGAACGATCAAGCTGATTTTCAATCGTTTATTCATATTTATTCATGTGATAACAACTATCACTCTTGTGTTTTTAGATAACAAAAATAAAAGAAATAATGGGTCGTAACTTTCTTTTTTCTTGTTTTCGTTGAAAATGAAATTCCAGTTGCAGAGGGTTAAGGTTAATTATTATCTTTGACGTAGACTAAAAGCACGTTGACAGTTTTTTGAGCAATTTTACGAGCAATTTAACGTTGAATATGACTAACGGCATGGTAATGATTGGAATTTTTATGCAAGTTATTTATTCTATTTACATAAGCGAATATTTCTTTTTTTTTTCTTTCTTTTTTTAATGGCAGCAAAACGCGTCATCGAGATTTATCGGCGCGGAATTTTGCAGCCAATGATTACCGGAACTTTACGTAATTCGATTCGCGAGAAAATCGATTAATTAATATCAGCGACCGTTCGTCATGGACCACGCGCCTGAGAGTTTTCCTTCGTTTCGCACCTGAATTGTCTCTGACGAGCTTCTGGTATCTGAAAATAACCGTTTGACCTGTACGACGTTTCTTCCAACAGCCCGTGAGCGAGTGGACGTCTCTAAACGTTGTTGAGTGGATGGCTGCCCTAAATCTCTACCGCTATGCGGATGTTTTCAAGTCTAAAGACATCAAGGGGAGCGATCTTCCTTTTCTGGATCGGGATAAGCTGATGGTAAGTGGATTTTTTTTTTAAAGTTGTCTCTTCTTTCACATCCCTTTCGAAATTCCTTTGCATTTTCATTCTTAAAATTAATTATCTACTTTTTCGTTAGAATTTCGAAGAACGTTCTTAGTTCCAACGGCGAACGTCGGAGTAGAACGTCGAAAGCCGATAAGCCTCCTTGGTGGGAAACGAACGCAAAGGGGAAGCAGCTGGCCGCGAATTTTTGCCACGTTTTTTCTTGTTTCGAGTTAGGGAACCGTGTCGGGAAGAACAGAAGTCAGCCACGGTGGGAGATCGAAAATTCTTTGGCTACTACTCAAAGGCGATGACCTCGACTCGAGAGTAGCTGGATGACGTTTTCCTTGGCCCGTTGACCCTGTAATTACCCTGTAGCGTCTGCTCTACAGCACAGCTCGATTATTTATCGTATCTTCCCTCTCTCCTCTCTCGTTTCTTCTCTTTTTTCTATTTTTCCTTTTGCAACTTCTTTTTTTTTTTTTCTTTTAAATCGATTATCGACGAGTGGCTTTCTCGCTATCTTCGAACGCATGACTTCGCATATCATTTCCAAGTTTTATCTCTCCGCTTCTCCCCCGTGTGATACAAGATTCTCCTCCGGGCTTCTCGACGAGCAAAACGAATCGAACGATCGATTTTTTTTTCCCCCTTTATTCGATGACGAAACGCCGCAACCTGTTCCGCGCTTCATCTCCTGTTAGGAGAGTCTCGCTCGAGAGTTCTGGCGATCATTCGCAAATTTAGTCACGACGCGTCTCGACGGGTCGTGTTCGGCCGAGGAGAATAAAAATAGTCGTCTGGTCGAGGCTTCTTCGGATGTAAATCGCATATTACCATGCTAATCGACTCGTAAATCGTCTGGAAGTGTCCTTTCGGCGCGAGAAATGGTCCGAGTCCTATTCGCGTCGACCTTCGGGAGCGTTCGTATTCGAGCCTCGAGTCGGTCGAGAAGAATTGGACGGAACCACGGATACCACCTTTAGATCAGTTTTAAATCGATTCTTTCCCCGATACGTTGTACCGGACGCGGCGCAACTTTTTCTTCGTTGCTAAATCGTTTCGGCAAACTCTAAATCTCTTTCCACCGCGTCGTGAACGTTTTCGCATCGACGTGTTCTTGGCCACCAAGACACGGCTCGACGTATTGAAAATATATTAAGGTCGTACTCTATCTTGGTAGCAGCGGCGACACCCGCATCTTCCTTTCTAGATGACGGAGCGTAACAATTTAACGACCACCTCGCGCAGTTTCCGACGGCAGCGCTGAATAAACTTGCGGGATTGATGCGTATAATTAACACTCGACACCGGGCGTCAGCTTGATAAATTACGCGTTACACCGCTGCCCCTTATCTCGTTGGTCGATTCGGATAAAAATCCTACGCTCTTTCGTTTTTTTGCACCCCAGTCACGAGAGACACCGGCAAATTATTTTTCATCTTTGTTGAGTTCGTAGAATCTTCCTTCCTACGTATCCACTAGAGAAAAAGAGAGAGAGAAACAATCTGGCACGTTGGCACGCCGGACGTGAAACAAAATAATTACGCGTCAGATTTGACGGTCGCACGAACTCTCGCGTGGACTTCGTAATCACGCGTTTCACGTGTATAACATGTGTGTGCACATCGATCGTTCTTCACTTCGTTTGCGCGTGCTACGCTAAGAATAACATTGTTGGCCCAGTGGTAACACGTTCTTCTCGCCGACACAATTTAAAATAACCCGCGCCAGCGTGTGGCCGAGTACCATAATTTGGAAAAAAAGAAAAAAAAGGAAAATGTGTCGCAGTCACGGTGGTTGCCGGAAATGACGGTGCCTCGAGAGCGATCCTTCATGGGAGAGCCACTGTCCCGCTGGCTGCGAGAAGAATCGCGTTTTTATCACGTGTCAGTGCCCGCTGTAATTTTTACGTTCGTTTTCGTCAGAACGTTTCGACCATGTCGCGGATGTTATTACGTAACTTGCACAACTTGCACCGCACGTTGCTGTCGGACGAGACCGTTCGTATATTGGAATTTTTTCACGCTTCGAAAAATTCGACTTGCGAGAGGAGACGCGTAAAGATTGAACAGGTGAAAGATCGTGCGCGATCGTCGCACTCGCGAACTCTTATCCCCGCGATGCATTGTATGCAGGACTGTGTACACGGCCGTTTATCCCGACGCACACGTGTACCTGACACCTGTTGACTCGGGAATCAATTGCGCCGGGAAAACGAGACGTCAGTCGCGAAAGACGTTACGAGACGTATAAATTATACTCGACTCGTCGCATTCCACCCCTTTACGAGGTCGTGCCACGTAACTCTCCCACTTACGTACGTTGCGTTGTCAAAATGCTCGTTCGATGCCGTTCCTAGTTTCGTTCCCTTTGTGCATCGAAAATCAAGAGTCTCGGGTTGGTTCGAGGGTCACGTTCGTTGTTCTTCGCGAAACCGATCGTTTCCTCTCAGTCAGAGTTAAAGAAAAGGGCACCGAGAAAAAGAGAAAATAGCAGTAAGTAGTAACTTCTCGCCGAACTTTTATGTCAGTCATATTTCTGCTGCTTACGAGCTCGCAAGTGTAGCGAGTTTGTAAGCGCGGCGAGAACGCGCGCACCGCCCCGTAAAATTAAAGAACGTCGGGCCGATGTATTTACGAGAGGCGACGTAAATGTGAGAAACATTGCTCGTTCATCGCCGCAGTGCTCGGTTTCTCTTGTTCGCAGAATATGGGCATCAAGGATGACTTCCACCAGAAGACCATTTTGGCCTGCATCGAGGAGCTCTGTCATGCCCCGTCGACGAGCGCCACGTTGTCGGAGGCGGCCACCACGGCCACATCGAACACGTCCTCCGGCGAAACGGTCACCGGTTGCAGCAGCTCCGTGGCCACCGGCAATTCGCCGCACACCCTCATGCCTCAGAGCTTCAGCGTTCTGGAGAAGTGCGATAAGTGCCATAAATACCTCAGGGGCCTCTTGCACCAAGGCTTTCTCTGTTTAGGTACGTGTGAAGCATCGATACGTGATACGATGGCCCGATACGATAGTCCGCGTTGAGATAACGTTTCTTAAACGTTCCTATTCTTTTTTTTTTTTCTTATATCTGTCCTTTTCGTTTCTTTGTAACGAAGCTTCGCCGCAATTACGTTTAATCGAGGCCGACGAGTCCGGCGTATCTGTCAAAAATTTCCCGAGGCGTTGAAGATAGCGTCGCAGAGAGACTCGCCGAGATTAAAGTTTCGGGATTAGGCTTTACGTGTCCGTATACGCACGTGTGTGTGTGTGTGTGTGTGTGTTCTTTTTTTTTCTTTTTTCTCTGCGGCTGCTCTACTTATTATATGTCGTTGTTTTTCTTGTGTGATAGATTGCGGTCTGGTAGCTCATAGGACGTGTACGGCGACGGGTTTACCCTCCAACTGCATGCCAGTCGACTCGGAAAATCGTACCCATAGATTTACTCCAGGTAAGTGGTGTGTGCACGCGGCGCGTGGTCGTGCGTACGCAGTATGCGAGACGCGTATACGCGCGCGCCCGCCCGCTGACGTCCAGTTTCGTAATGTGACATTGATACCGCTCGGTCGTAACACGCCCATTACTTCTTCGTTACGTTAATGGACGGAACACGGAAACAATTTAAAAATTCAGATGTCTTAGTTGACTATCCCGGATTGCATCAGAAACATGTTCGCTGACGTTGGAACTGCTTTGCAATCCGCGCACCGGCGGTCGATTATGAAGTTTGTAGCAAGGACATACGATGTGGCGTATTACTTGTCACTCTAATATCTGAATAACTAAATATTCATGTGTCTTTTGATTGAAATCGCTGTCGACCAGGGCGAGCAGAGGAGGGGCGCGGTGGCGGGAGAGTGGTGATGGTGGAGGAGGAGGAGAGGGGAAGCATAGGGGGAGGGAATGTTGTTTCATCGGGTCACGTTCATTCTTCTTTCCTCACTTATTCTATCGTTGAATTTGGCCACGTCGAATTTGAGACGAAGGATCGTCGCCATTTTTTTCATGCCGCAGGCTCGATAAACGCTCACGGCCGATAGAAGTTGAGAGATACGTGCGTGCGTCTACTACGGCACGAAACTAGACGGTTTTCCAAGAAATTCCGCGGCCACTCTCGGAATCGTCATCGAGCGTGAGCACCGACGACTGTATAATAGATAAACCGAGTACGCAGCGGTATCGTCCGAGGTGTACAGTCTCTCTCTTTCTCTCTCTTTCTTTTTTTCCTTCTCACACTCGTGCATGCATATCGGTCGTCCGACCGAGAGTAGCGTGGTAGTGGTGGTAGTTTCATTAAGTTGTCGGTCGCGTTGCGCGTTGTCCACGCGATGAGACGCGCAACCGCTACATATGGAGAATGGTAGGGAATCGGGAACGGCGCCAATGGTCGACGAAGAAGCCGCGGTGCGACGTCTCCGCGGGGCACGTAAAGCACGATTTATAGACACGGTCGTTAGAAGCATGGTCGCGTGTTTTTCAAAAGTTTGCGCGTCCGATTGTTGGACGGACAGAGGGAAAACGCGGAATAGGAGGAAAGAGACAGAACAAGGAGAAGTCGCGGGACGTTTCACCGAAGGAGGAACGTGGAAGAATCGCACGTTGCTCTGTCCGACAATAAAAGCATTTCCACGTACTCCTCGTAAAATTGGAACATCCTCGTTTCGAATTCTATGGTGTTGGTCGCACGTTGCTCTCCCGCGATCAGTTAATCGATTGTTCAGGTTCGGTTAAAGAACCGTGACGAATATCGAGTTTCCATATTATCTTTATGCGGGATGATACCGATTTATACGTGGTATATATCATGCTCGCACCTTTTAATTTCAACTTTTATATTCCGTCTCTCTCGTATCGAGCCTGCAGAGAAGATAGGTTACTCGCGGAGAAATAAAATGTCGCTGTTACGGTCGTAAAAATAAATTTCATCTTATCCCTCTATCTTCCTTTTGTGAAATTTTCTCTGTCTCTCTCCTTCTCCTCTGCCTCATCCTTCACCTTTTTTCCTTCGTCTTGCTTCCCCTTCCCTTTCCTTCTCTATCATTCCGTCTCTCTCTCTTTCTCTCTGTTTCTCGGTCTCCTTCTTATAATGCATGCATACACGCCTTTGATTGTACAAGTGGTGTATGCGATATCGACGATAAGTCGTTTCGAGTCGCGCGGCGCGTTCGAAAATACGACCGTGGCCACGCTTCGAGTCGCATTCTCGTGCAGATAAGAAAATAGAAAATAGTCGCCGAATAGGACAGAATAGAAAGATCGGCGTCAATCGTGTTGTCGAGTGTGGAAAGGCTAGCTCGCTGAAATGGTGATCGAAGGACGCGTTGAATCTGATATCTGGCTATTAGCTCTTTCGGCGACGCGGAACGCGTCGCGGAGTATTTCGGCAATGCAACAACCTCGTTACTTAATTCCAGAAACGTACGCTTCCTTTTGACCTGCTTATTTTCATTGGATCCTAGTACCGAATGGAAGAAAACACAAGACTCGCTGTCGAGAGTCACCACCGGTTCCTTCAAATGCGTCAGTTCTCGGCCTGCGGGTTTCTCTTGGCTTCTTTACGATTTTACGCATTTCTCGCCTCTCTGGCCGAGCGTCTGGAATGCGTCTGTGAGATGTCAGGAATTTTTTTCTTCCCGGCATATCCATAAAAAACCAACGAATCTCTTGCAGATGCCGGCAAGCTCGCCTCTCCCTCGCGTAGCAAATCGTGTTCTCCTTCGTTAGCATTTTCAAACTTCGCTACGACTGTTCGTCGACGAATTTAACACGACCAATTCATTTCGCTTGGCGATTATTTCTCCGGTCGTGAATTGGCCAACGCTTCGGACGCTGTACTTCTTCTTTATTTCATCTGTTTGCACGTATTTTTTTTCCTTCTCGTTTCTCTTCTCTTTGGACACGAGCGTTACTCCGATTCGCGCTGCTTTCGACTCTCCTCGCGGATTCTTCCTCTCATTCTTCTCGTACTCGTTGACGACGTTCGATTCATGTATCGTTCATCGTCGAAGAGTTCATGCAACCACTTGACTACACACCGACCAGAAAAACAGATCGCGTACATACCGAACAAATGAAAGTTTCGTTGCCGAGTCGTTGAAAAATTCTCATGCGCGCCTCACACACTGTGATTTGCGCGAAAGAAATAACCAAGCTTCCTTAGACTCTTAGAGGCCATTGTAATAAATAGAACAGCGAAAGGTAGATCCTCGCGGTTCTTTTTTTTCGCCCCTCTTTCTATTTTTTCCTTTTTCATTTGAACATCGTCAGTATACGGAGTTTACGCTGCTAGGTCTTGCGATCTTTTTAAATATCCCGTTGCTATGCTCGGCAGTTCGGCGAAGGAGGAACCCGAGACGGTGAAAAGTACAATCTCTTTTATTCGCGTTGCTGGAAACGGTGCCGGTTCACAATCTGCAGTCAGGAAATTTCTCGGTTACAGTATTTGGTCTTGGCCTGTGCTCGCAATTCGACATCTCCTCGCGCTCGGCTCCTCTGTTGGTGGAACGATGCACCAGTGCCTTGGAGGAGAAGGCATTCGAGGACAGCACGCTGGATTTGTACAAAGTCTACCACAGTAGTCCCCCGAACGAGAAAACGTTGGAATTACGGCAAAAATTGAACGAAGGTAACTTCTATTGTCTGGTTGTCTTATTCAGATCGTTGCTTTCGAGTAATTATGTTTATCGTTGAATTTTCAGATGTATGTAACGCCGATTTAAGTTCGTACAGTGCTCAGTGTGTAGCGAGTGTTTTGAAAAAGTTTCTACGAGAATTGCCAGACCCTGTGATCCCTGTACAGTTTTACGACAGATTTATAGAAGCATCCAGTGAGTATCCAAAGCAAGCTCTAAGATGTTGTAATAAGACTTCGCTAGTCCTGCAGGTCGCATCATCTGTTTTCTTACTGTCTTATAATGTGCAGATACGAAAAACGATGAGCAGTGTGCAGTGCGCTTGGGACAGCTCGTTTCGGAACTTCCAGATCATCACCGTAGTACTTTGTTTCACCTGATGGCCCATTTTTGTCGAATCTGTCAATTACAACACGGAAGAGGTTACACGGAACCTCCCACCATCCTTATACAAGTGCTGTGTCATATTTTCGTTAGACCTCCTTGGGAACGGATCGTGTAAGTGCTTCTCTTTAATATCGACGTGATCATTCTTACGTGGCAGGAAGAATCAGTTTCTTGAATAATAATCGATCGTTCATTTTGCAGGCAAATTGTTCACAATATCGAGGCGCATATACGAATAGTGGAGGTGTTGTTGTTGCACGGCGATTGGAACGAGAGGCTGCCTCAATTTGCCAGTCCACCGCAGCTACCACCGCGAAAAGTTTCGAGGCCGCAGTTTCCAGTTTTAGATCCATTCTCCGTTCTCGATGAGGATAATTCTGTGGAGCGGACAATGTCCGTCTCGGAGAGCAAGGAATCGCAGCAGCAGCCGCACAGGTGAACGATCGTTTCTTTTTACGCACAATCCTTGATTATTGTAATTCGCCATTATATAAATTCGTTGTTTTGGACAGGCCACGCACGCTTCAAGAAGCTGAATGGTATTGGGGTGATATCACGAGGGATGAGGTGAACGAGAAGATGATCGATTCGCCGGATGGCACTTTTCTAGTACGCGATGCGTCTTCGAAGGGTGGGGAGTACACACTGACATTGCGTAAAGGTGGGACCAACAAGCTTATCAAGATTTGTCAACGGAACGGAAAATACGGCTTCTCGGAGCCGTATAACTTTCATTCGGTTATCGAGCTGGTGGATTACTACAGGAATTGTTCTCTGGCGCAGTATAATTCAACGTTGGATATTAAACTGTTGTATCCTGTATCCCGGTTTCAACAGGTATTTTTTTCGTAGAAATCTCATTTGTGTTGGTGATAATAATTAACGTGAATTTAACGTGGGACAATAATTACGCGATTCTCCTGTTTCGATTAGGACGATGAAATTGCAAGTACAACAGATATGGCGAATGTCGCCCAGAAATATGTTGAACTTGATAAAGAGATAACCGATGCGTTGAAAGAATATAAAGAACTTTCGGAATTGTACAATAGAACGTCTTTCGAGGTCCAGTTGAAACGACAAGCGTTAGAAGCTTTTTCAGAGGCTATCAAAATGTTCGAGGAACAAATGAAATTGCAAGAGAAATTTCAGAAAGAAGCACAACCGCATGAAATATCAACGTGAGTTTTCGTCAATAGGTTTAGCGATGTATTTCGAATCTTGCGTGTAAATTGGCCGATTTATGGTTACAGATTAATCGATAATGCCGAGTTGTTGAAACGAAGACTGAAATCTTTAGAGGATAGCAGGGAACAGTTGGATTGTAGTTTGAAAGAACAGATCGCGTATAATAGAACTCTGGAAAGAGAAATGCACAAATTGAAGCCTGAACTCTTGCAACTCGTACGTCAAAGGGATAAACATTTAATGTACGTATATCGTAATTTTTATTATACGTTCATCTAGAATTGCGATCTAACGTTTTTTTTACTATTATGCTACAGATGGCTGAAAAAGAACGGTATGAAACAAAATAAAATAAGCCAACTTGTGCTAAATCATTCGATGTCGAATCCTTTGTTGGGTGACTTGGCGTATGGTGATCTTCAAGAAGTGGATCTTGAAGTTCATTCCGACGAAACGACGTGGCTTTATCTTGAATGTTCTCGTTCCGATGCCGATCGAATTCTGGCTGAGAAATCGGATGGTACCTTCCTTATTCGAACATCAAGAACGGGACAATACGCACTTTCCATCATGTATGTTTTCTTCAAATCTTTTTGTACCAACAGTAACGCATGAAATAAATGGCAATCGATGTTTTATTCGTTTTAGGTGTAATGGTACAGTGAACCATTGCATAATATACGGTACTGAACGTGGTTTTGGATTCGCTGAACCGTACAACATCCACAAGAGTTTGAAACATTTGGTGCTACATTACGCTCAGAATTCTTTGGAGGAACACAACGAGAGTCTTAACACGACTCTAGCTTATCCAGCTTTCGCTTCACCTGCGGCATTGTCGCAGTTGCAGGCTCAACAGATGCAATTGCAAATGAAAACGCACACCCAAAACCAATTACAATTGACACGTCCTCTTGAAAATCAACATTATATGACGCACACGTAATGCTCGTGCGTCGATCAATAGAGTTACAAGGATATTAGGCTGTATGTGTGCATGAAAGTTTTCTCGATTACCACCGAGGCTTAATTTAGAAATTGAAAGTTAATCAGGTGATGATAAATGATTTTTCGAATAGACCCTGCGAAAGAGTGATCGAAAAGTGAAGCCTTTTTTCCGCCTGTTTTTAGTCCCTTGATTTTGGTATCAAATAATCGCTGAGACGTCAATCACTGCAAATTTTCGAATTAAGTCGACGATTGCTTTCTGAGACATGAGTCAAAGTTCATGTTCATTAACGCATCAGTTTGTATGCTTCGATGTGCAGATTTTTATGTAATATATAATATATAATATATAATATAATATATAATAGATTTGGATTTATCAAGGAGTTGGCTGATGAACTTAGATTCATAGTTGTGATATAAATTATTTCTTTATTCTTTTAAATACGCACTTATTTATTGTTATCCATATAGTAATTGTTAAATTATTATTTGAATTTTATTCTTTTATGCCTGATGAAGAGAACTTGATCTCAATGATGATGAAATGAAGATGATAAAAAAAGTAGACTCGATATTGGAAGAGAAAGCGGCATGGTGGAGCGTTGATGTTATAGTATATTGAATTTTAAAATATATTTTAAATTTTTAAAATCCAAGATCGAATTCGTAGTTTGCAATCGGATAGATTCCTGGATACAATTTTTTTAAATTATCTAATCAACATAAAAACCTGCAATTGATGCGTTAATAGATGTGGAGTATTTTTATTCGAGACACTCATTGTCTGAGACTCAAATTTGCTATGATTGAAGTATCATCACAAGCTATCATTTGACACCAAAATCAGTTTCAAAGTTAATGGTCCAAGAACGGGAAATTATTTTCGGTCACTTTTTCTATCCGTGTTAATCGATGTGTGGTGGTATTATCTACGGAGACAGAATACGCGCCCGACAATTGATCGTTCCATTTTTATAGGCCGGAAGTAAACGCTTCCTTAAATGAAGTACAGTGGTATTGATAACGATTGAGGAAACATTGATAGCGATAGTAATTCTCAGAAGCTATAGTTTATAAGACAATTATACAAGTATGTTACCGTGGTGCAGAAAGCGATTGTTGAGATCGACAGAACCACTGAACACATATACTACCGTAGATTTTCCAATTTTGTCGAGGTTTTTTGACAAACCTTTTTGGATTGATCTTGTCGACGATCAACCGAGAAATTTTCTTTGGCACGTTTTTGCAAGATTGCGGGAACAGAAATGAACCGTTTGCCGTCAGTTTGTATTTTTCAAGACGGGGAGAAGAATTGTTTCGATGTTGGAACGGTGTTACGTCACGTTTTTCGAGATACACTTATTCGATCGAACATGTCAGAGTAACAGAGGCATAGGTCTAGTCTTGCAGGCAATTTGGCGACTACAAAGCAGAGTGAATCATAAGTCTGACTACGCTCAAACTACTCGCAGTTTCGATTGGTAATCAGGGTAGTTGCATTTCATAGAAAAAAAAAAAAAAAATAATAATTTGATATTCATCTAACAACTAACCATAGATGGACGCGTCTGTTCCTCCTCGGGGGTGGAAAATGGATAGACGCAACGCATTTCGCAAACCGCTGTACTTCTGACTTCTTCGATAATGTTTCGTGAATATTTCCCAAACCCTTCGATTTTGTGTAACGCGTGGTACGCGTGGTATCACTACGTGATACGAGCGGGTATCGTTTACGTCGCGAACGAAGCGATTCACGAGTAAGGCACGAGTTGTTCAACAAGTGATACTAGAGTATATAATTAGACGCATTGCAACATGTAACTGAGCCTCTCGGATGCTTACCGAACATTTTTTGTAGCGATTTACAGTACTAAAGTAGCATCTATCACAGTTGTACAACTCAACGCTTGGGGAGGCTCGTTTCGAACGTTTTAACGAATGCTACTTCTGTTCGGTTCTCGATTTAAATGTGTGCCTGCTCGTGTTACTTTTGAACTTCATCACAACGAAAAAGGAAAAAAAAGAAAAATTTACACGAATGCGCGGGAGCTTTTTTATATATATATGTTAGATTTCAAGTGCTGTGCCAGATCTGTGTAGGCTACTACGCGCATCTAAAACCACGTGTATGTGCTGAGGGAGAATAGGAGTGTGTGTATGTGTGGGTGTGTGTGAAATAGAGAGAGAGATAGAGAGAGAGAGAGAGAGAGAGAGAGAGAAAGGGAGCGAATGTGAGGGAGAGAAAGAGAGGAAGCGAAAGAGGAGAGAAAGTGAGAGAAAAAGGGGGAAATCATTTTTCGTGGAGTTAAGCATATTGTCTGTGATTGCTGAGAAAGGAGATGTATATGTATATATGTGTGTATGTGCGTGTGCATATATACATATATATGTATATATACAAACATATATATATATATATATATATATATATATATATATATATATATATATATATTATATAGATATATGGATATATATTATATCGTTTATATTATTTTCAAATTGCTTTTTACAAATTGCTTTTCTTCTGTCATCATTTGTTTTTTTTTTCTCTCTTTTATCGTTTACGAAACGTGTGATTGTTGGTTTGATTCCGACAAATGTAGATAATAGAATTCTATTGCGAGACCGTATGTGCAAAAGCTACTCGTGATTTTTAATAATTGTAATTTTCTTCTTACGTTCGATCGAGAGCGGTTGCTTTTCTTTCTGTACGCCGCGTCAGAGTCTCGTCGCGCTCTTTTCTCTATCGACTCGATGCGTTCCTGACTCTGAAACGTTCGCGAGACGTCGCCTCGGTTCGATTTTATCCGTATTCCTGTGTCATACCGAGTACCGGTAAAATCTGTGCGCACGCTACGTTCTCGCGAACGTTGAACAGAGTCGATCTCCTTTCGCTTTGGATGTCAAAGCTTGCCGCGTGCTCTTTGAATGATCTCAAAAAGGTAACGGCGGTCTCGCTGGTTGGCACGATAACGAGAAGAATCCTCGAAGGGAACCGATCGCGATCGGATCGATACTCGAGAAATTTTACGCATTACATTGCGGTCCGTAATCGTAAGAGTGTATCGAGGACGAATCCATCGCGAACAACGGTTCGTCTGCTTTTAGCGGCCATTCGAGTCCGAATGACGATTCTTCTGGTTATCATTTCCTCTCGCGCGACTTCCGCTACCGATTGTATAGTCAAAAGAAAACTGTAAGCCGGATATCTTGCAAACGGGTCTGTGAACGAGTGAGAAACGATCTCGAGCTTGAAAGAGTCGAAAGCGGCGACGAGCTGTAATTTTTTTTCTTTTTTTGTTCTTCGTTCGTTCGTTCGTTTGTGCAGTATAAGGTGACGAATATCGAGGAGAGTCAGAAAACGCGAACAGAAACATAAGCGATAATAGAAGAGAGAGAAAAAGATTGTTAACAAAAAAACAAAAAAAAAAAAAAAAAAAAAAAAAAAAAAAAAAAAAAAGTGAAGGGCTTGTTGCTCATCCTAAAGGCTTCGAATTATGTAGACTTAGGTAGTTTAGGTTTTTTATACAAGAAAATGAAATTAAGTGCCCTGGCGCTGATAGGCTTACATAGATTCCGTGATCGTCCAAATCGCGTACAGGTGCAATATTCGATCGTTGTTCATTCGTATTATCACTGAATCGCGCGTTTCTCGGATGTACTTTAATCCGTTTCGTTCGAGACACGTTCCGTCGATTTCGACGTAGCTCTTTGTCATTGTCATTTTGCACGACTTTGAAAAATTAAAAAAAAAGAAAAAAGAAAAGAAAAGAAAATACAAAAAATTGAGTTTCCTTCTCAGAACCTGTGAATGATTTTCAAAGTCCACAATTTGTTTATTTTACATCCTTACCTGGCCTATTCTCGAATCTATACGTCTTATTATCCGGAATCCTCATTTCACTTTCCTCTTCAATTTCGTATTGTGATTATACTCGCGATGATACAGAGGCTAAGAGCTCAATTCTCGAAGAATTCATCTGTCAGTTCTTGTTCAAAGTTATTTGTGTTTATATTAATAATAATATTGAGCGGACACGGCCCAATAATATAATACAGCAACAAAAGATAATACAATGTAAGACGCGTTGAAAGAACACTGAGAAGTTTTGTTTTAAATACAGTTGTATGAATACAGAGAATCTGGCTGGAACAATATTATTTGTCCTAGTCGATTATATTATTAATGTTTTGTATATTAATGAAAAGAGAAATGACAAATAAGCCGAGTTACTGAGGCTGCGGTTACAGTAGGATGCGTTTTCTGACAAACACATCCGAACTGTTCATCGGACAAACGTGACAAGGGATAGCTATATTGGATGCGCGTTCTGACGAATTCAACGTAGTTGAAAAAAGTCTATAACGATCTTTAGTTTTTACAAGACACATTTTTGAAATTTTTACCTTCAAGTTTCGAGCGTGAAAGAAAAAGATGAGTGAACGATGCGTTTACTTCAAGAACAAGATTCAAAGAATTTCACACACTATGAATAAAGAGAATTAAAATGCCAGTCCAAACATTCCATTATGTATTAAATAGAATCAAAGAATGTACATATCTCAAACAGCTAAACTTTCGTCTGTATATTTCTGTAGAAGAAATGACTCGTCGAAACATTCAATACTCCCAGTACAGAGAAATAGCATTCGTACGGTCGATCATATCGAATTCCTGCACAGAAAGAATTGCACGCAATGCAAGGACATGAATAAAAATTAATTTATTTCGTTTCTCTGGCTTCTTTCGCTTCCGACGTATTCGGCAGAACGTTAGTTTATCAGAAAATACATCCAGTGTAACTGCAGTCATTGTGTCTTTTCCTCATTTATTTCGCTTTAACAACTTTTATGCTTTCTGTGGAAGTGTAGCGAATTTATGTAAAGACAAAATTGATTTTTTCAAAGGGAATATCGGTGCTTTTAATAATTGGACAGCAGTGCATCGAGTGATGAACCGAGAGGCGGTGCCAGGCGTTGTTAAGTTCACGTATTTATATGTTACGAATAAAATATAACATTGGAAGGTGTATTGTTCTTAGAATAGATTATACACATTCGACAGATATATTTGCAATTTATTGCGCAAAATTACAAATGATGCAAATGTAATTTACTTTGGTGTTTACAATAATCTAACGCTAACGTATTCATACTTTTACGAAAATAAAATTATATCACTTATTCTTCTGCACGATTTATGCAAAAAATTCTTGAAGGATTAGAGCTCTCGCAATTTACGGATATATTGAAAGTGATTCTAAATGAAAACAGTGCGAACAAGTTGATCCGGCACCGTCGTCTCGATAAAGTATTATAAGCATACGTATATCTGTATATACATACTTTTTTTTTCACAGTTAATACAGTAGAACCTGGTTTATCAGCACCTTGTGTATGCAAAGTCTCACGTATACGAACTCATCTTTTGTTATCCAAAAAAAAAAAAAAAACTAGGAGTAGGATGTTATCCATATTCCTTGGTGATGCAAACGATTTTCGTTCTACTGTAATAACTTACATTTACAGTAAGGTTACATTACGTTAGATACGCAACAGTTCGTAATAAGTATCCTGTGAATTTTTATGGAAATTTATATTTTCGAGAAATATGTGGAAAATTGATTTAGCTACTACATGTTATGAAAAAAAACTCTACTTTGGATATTTTATATATCCTTTAATACGATATGGATTCTGTGCAATTCTACATTTTTAAATTTCATGCACAGATACATAAAAATACGCAGTATAATAACAAGTGTCAGGAATAATCGTTGATTATTCCTTATTCTTTTTTTTCCTTTTTTTTTTTAACACTATTTTTCCTATTGCAATTACATCTCAGACAGATACCATTCCTTATTCGATGTTAGAGGTGGATTAAGCAGACAAAACGGTCGCGAATTATTAGTAATCGTGATGAAGGCAAGCAAGGATTATTCAAATCGTCGTCTACTACTCGAAAGAACGAAGGATCTCTGTATGGATCTATTGAATAAATATCTACTGCTTATCACGCGAAGAACAAAAAATTCGGGAACGCTGTTCATTGTCGATTTTATCGTACGATCGACGATCGATGCAGGAAAAGGAAGAATTCAGAATTTTGCGCAACGTTGCAATGTAGCTTAACACTTTGATGCGCAGTTTGAAAAATCAAAAATCAAAAACAAGATTGATGTCTTGTGACTTTGGAGACATTGGCGATCGAATGAAGATCAAGAACTTGGAAACATTTCTCCTTGTGCTTGCGAATAATAAAATAAGTTTGTCAGATATCAACGAATAGACAAAAAGAGCAGTGAAAAAAATTGCGAAAGATGTATGATTTGAGCTGGAAGGCAACGATAAAGGAAATCTCTATTGGAGAATGGAATTATCGAGAGGATTAAACTTAAATTCTTCTGCAACGATCGATGAAGGTGAAAAGATTAAGAAGATGGAAACTAAAAGAGTTAAGTATCGTAATACGTGACTACGGAAAAAGTCGAAACAAGATGAACGAGAAGTTTGGAAGACGATCAAAAACGAGCAATCCTCAGACAGGTTATATTGACCGAACCTGAAGGACAGGCCGATCAGCAGTGCGCCGAATTATAAAAAATATTTTCCGTGCTAAGAAACTGTCATAGATGTATAATTCGCGGCAAGAACGGAGTTGTTGAGCATGTGCAACAGTTGTTTCGACATTTGATCGGTGAGGGCGAGATACAATATTGAACAGCTAGACAATGTCAATTGTGCCAAGATGACTGATTGTGATGAAATTTATTTTGCGATCGAGCGAAAGCTCGGCAACGATTTTTCTTGGTGACTCTTGTAAAGTAATCGAATAAATTTGTTCAGACTCAGTGGAATGATCAGTTGTCAGACGAAGAGAGAAAAAGGGTGAGGAATTGAGGACTTGACCATCTTCCATTCGGAGTGTATTAAGTATATTAAGAATATGTTGGATAAAAACGAAATTCATCTGAAAGTGGATTACGTTCTTAATATACGAAAGTTTGACAGCCATAAACATATCACCGCGTCGATATAGTCAGTTCACGAGTATTCCGTGAGACAGAACAGAGAGGAGGGCAATCTCGATAGCAGTTCTGCACAACGAAGGCGAAGATAACGATTCAAGTGATTTGCGTCGATCGAAGAAGGCTTAGGATTCGAGGGAGAGCAACAATTCGAGTTCAATAAGCTCGACAGAAATATTCAATAAAATCTAGTGGTAGTACTTAGATGATCGTGATCGACGTGAATTAAGAAACAAATATCGAGTATACCTGCCATAGCTATTGCTACTGTCTGGGAGATGCAGTTAGCTCATAGGATAGACGATCCACCTGAAGGAAGAATACGAGAACCTCGAAACGAATTTCGCAACGAAATCCAAGACAGATATACAACGAAAGTATTGTCCAAGTATTGTCCAAAATTGGCAACATTAATTCCACAGCCAAGTCGCAGCTTTCGACTATTGATTCGAACAATTCACATTGTTTTGCAATGACTTTGCCACATTTAGGATGCAGATTTCGTTACAGAACACCGCCTGCTTCATCTACAGCCATGTCGCTTTTGATTATCGACACGTTTCGCAATGACCTTTGTCACAATCGATTTTGATATGGAACATCTCCTTTATCCAAATTTCTCCGAATCTGCAACTATATCCCAGACAGCGTAATTTCCACGTTATTTATTTGTTGTAACCAATTTACAACGATCTTCAAATCGCTGTTACTCCACGAACTATTTATCAGCAACCAATCACCCACAGCGAAGTGTTGCTTTATCTCTACTCAAACGATATTCGTACTTGTCGATTTTAATACGGAACAACATCCTTTTCATCCAAATTTCTCTGAATCTGTTACTAATCCGGACAGCGCAATTCCCACGCCAATCTGTGGAATTTACAACGATCTTCAAACCGCTGTTACTTCACGAACTGTTTCTACCAGTGACGAATCACCCACAGGAAGTGTTGTCTCTATACGAACGAACATTCGCGCCTTTTTGGCCAGGAATATGCGCGCGTCGCTAACCAAATGGACTGTTTCCTAGTTTTATGTTCCTACTTTCTGATTTTCAGACTTTGAACTTGTTATTATCTTATCTACACACGTGCGAGATGTACTCGTTGATAAAAAAAATATGACAGAATATGATGAAAAGGACGAAGGAGAATAATGAAATGTAGGAAAAAAGTATATAAGTGTAATTATATATATATAAATACATTTATATACTTTTATATATGTACCCTTTCTATGATAAGGGAAACCTACATATATGTATATATAGGTTCTATATAATTTCTCTTACTTTGACGACAAACCTTTCATTGATTATTTACAATATATTTATACGTATGTTTTGTATACACATCTACTCGAAGGTATGGAAACCTTTAATGATCGCGTTTTTCACGAGGACAATCGCGGAATGCGAGATCTCGAGCGTTTCGAGTGTCGTCGACGAGACAGGAAACGTTCACGCGTGCACACGCATTTTAGAATTTGCTCTCATTTGTCTTCATCATAGTCTGTCGCATCCTATATTTTTTCACCAACGAGCACATCTCGCACGTTCCTTATGCAACAGCGTTCCGTTTTCGTATTCGGCAATAAGCGTGACTAAACACAAGGAGGCGCTTCTATTTACGCGTTCGAGCGAGAAATTCGCTTTGGCGAATTCAACCGGAACGTAAGAATCGCGCGTGAACGGCTGCGCAACGTTTGTTGGAATTGTTTCAGTTTCGAAATATCGAAAAAACGTTACTGGCACGTCTTGACTGATCCTTTCTTTCGTCGCGTGCACGCGTGCACGTTTGATAGATTGCTTTTCTGGCAGTTTATTTGCAGCATCGAGGCGAAACGTGATGAAACCAATGAATCAATGAATGAAATACGAACGATTTTCTCGAGGGTTCTCGTTATTAGAAACGATACAGCACGTAGGACGATACAGCAATCGTCATCGAATTTGATCGATTTGAATCGATTTTTCACGTGGACTCGACAACATTGTATCTTGTACCCTTTTGTACTTTTAGAAAGAGGTGTTACATCATGATGTAACTAGAAATATATCCGAGTTACAGTAGCGAGTTTCTTTTTTATACAAAGAAAAAAATTAGAGGAAAGACAGACGAAGAGAAAGATAATGAGGTTGGATTTCTTCGGCGGGACCGATCCAACAGTTACTTTCGCGAGCCGAAACATTAACGAACGAATTCGGCGAATTCTCGCGACGTTTGCTCGGTCTTTCGGTATCCTTCTTTTTAGATCCTACATTCGTGTCAGCGTGCCGATCGCCAAATGCCTCGTCAAATTGACGAGTCAATTTCAGAAAAATCGTGCTCGGTGGATCGAGGCGAGATCGAGTCGTTGGGTGGATTGCGATGCAAGAAAAGAGAGAACTTTGGAGGGGGAGGAGGGAAGCGTGCGAGGGAGAAAGAAAGATGACGAGAATAAAAGTTGCCTTAGCATTTCTACGAGATGAACTGGATGCGGAGTGTGAGCGAGCGAACGAGAGAGAAAGAAAGAGAGAGAGAGAATGATAAAAGTCTGAGAGGGAGAGAAAGGAAAGAAAGTGAGAAAGTCGAGGAACAAAAGGAAGGGTAAGACAATTTCGTACGCTGAGACGATCGACGCTGATGACAAAAGAAAAGAAAGAAAGAGTGATGAAGAATGATCGGCTCTAACAAGCGAAATAATTTGACACAAGTGGAAACAAATTTTCTGCGACGACATTGATAATTAAATCGCATTGATGACAGTTGTTGTAATCGAGATGGAGAAATTTGTAATTTGTAATACACAAACAAGTGATATTCCTGTAATACACATACGCGTGCGCCGATTTTTCCTAGCAGTGTATAAAGGAGACGAACGTTATTCTCTGGACACTCGTGTACACTCTTTTTTCTAACGTTTGCAGCAATATGTATAAATATATAATGTATATACTACTCTGGCGGTTTAGCTGTGGGCGAAACACTCAGGTTCCAGTTACTAACGAGGATATATTTAAACTATCTAACGAACTATTATATACAAGAGGAAACCAAGTAATTTTAAGCGTTACGACGCGTCCATTCGATCGAGTAAACTAACGAAACAATGCATTCGATTCCTTTCTTTTGTCAATGCTGACGACTTCAGTAGGAATGAACAAGACGATAGAAATATTATAGAAATTAGCGGAAGTACGAAAGGGTGAGATTGCCGCGTAGACCAACTCGTACTGTTATCCTAGCCGTAACGAATTAATTGTAAAGCGGAGTGTCTCTACGCCTACGGAGAGAATTCCGAGAGATCGAGAAGAAGAAGACGATTTCGAGGGAAAGAGCGAGCCTGTCAGTAAGAGCGTGTGCATGTTTGAGAAAATACGAGAAAGAAAGAGTGAGCATGTAACTGATTTTTGTAATTTATCCTTGTCTGCGTCCAAGCTACGAGGACAACTCTTTGATCGTCTTGCTTATCGAATGCGAGTATACCTCCGTCTAACACTAGCTGAATCGATGATATTTGCAGTCTTGGACGTTATTTTGTAACGAATCTTTCATTTCAAGTATCAACGAGAAATAAAGACAATGCTGTGCATAAATCGAGGCTGATTCATCGCGGATGATTTATCCCTCAGCGACGTAAAAAACATCCCCTTATGGCACATGTTGGATTCCCGAGGAATTTGCGCGTACGCGTTACACTCGAGGACAATGCTCGTCGAATAAGAATATTACTCAATCCTGATTTCTTGACAGTTAAGTGAAAGCACGATACTCCACTCGAGCAATATTTATTGTAACACATGGTCGAGCGGCAAAAGTATGATTCCAAGGTGATTTCGCTGCCTATTCCTCTTGAATAAGAAAAAAAAAAAAAAAAAAAAAAATTGAAGGGGAAGAGAAGAGTCGATCGCATGCGAAACCGCCTCAAAATCATGTCTGATGGCTAACAGATTTCGTGCACGTTGATTTGGATCTTTGCCAGTCTTTTCCTTTCTCGTTTGCAAAATGCAAACCTGTCGGTGAAAATCTGTGTGTGAGTGAAAACAGAGTACGCTAAAGAGTAGCAAAGACGATTTGAACGTTGACAGAAAACCAAGTTGACGGAAATGAGAATGAAGCGCCATCATCGCGTGGAATCGTCGCCATCTATACCAGAAGGACTTGTTTAAAACAATGCACTAAGAGTAAAGATTATAACAATTCCAAGTAGACTACGAGAAGAGAGAGGGGAAAAAAAAAAAGGGAACAACAGCGAAATCAATCGAAGACGACGTTTCTCTGATTGTCATGACGAGGATTAAAAGGTGCATTTGCGTAGATACAACAGTTTCATGACTGCCAACATTCACGTTGCCAAATATTGTCGGCGGCGAAATTGCGAAATTGGAAAGAAATCGCGAGAATCGCGTGCCTCGCATCGAAAGACGTACCTGCCCCGAACATTGTTGCGAGGATGATAGAAATCGGTGGCAGCTAGAGTAACGGTGGTTGCACCGATGTGATGGTGGTGATGGTGGTGATGGTGGTGGTAGTAGTGGTTGGAGAACGGTAGCCGACGAGGCTCGTGTCGGTGTACCTAACGCGACGAAACAACGTTTCGATTGGCAGTGTGCATCGCGTAGCGAGCTTGCGCGTCGCATTGCACGGCTGCAGTCGAGTCATTATGCAGGTACAGGCTGTCACTTCTACTCACTGTAACCGCAGACCGACGTTGACTATCGTCGAGTTCTCCATGCATCCGGCCCCTCGACGGTTTCGTCGCCCGATACAGCGGTGAACCGCTGAATATATTACAGCTCGTTTAAACCTAATTTCTAATGCACCCTCCGAGTATCAGTGCGCCGGCACTGATTCGCGGAATTACCTCGTGTACGAAAGTTTCCATCAAGCCGGCCGCGAAGTTACATCGTCGTTGAATAAAAAGCAGTCTCGTTAATTTAAAATTCGTCACGCCGCGATTTGACAAGACTAGTATAGACAGTTGAATTAAATTTTCATTCCATCTTCGATCGTACGTGACAATTTTTTTCTCGTTTCTGGCTCTGTTGATTTTTCTAATGAGAATTTTTCTTCACCGTGGTGAATTGAACAAATTGAGCTGATTAACCCTCTCGCGAGCTTCGAGGAGGATCGCGCTAACTGTCCAGCCAGGATCAGTTGATCCGATGACTAAGGATTCCTAACACGTCACCTACCTTGGTATATTTAGGCTCAGGTCAATTACAGCTGGTAGTCGACTGATCTGGATACATCCGACGCGAAATAGTAATTCTCGTTTGACATCCGTTTGAGTCCGCAAAGTTCAACGATACTGGAGGATGCAGCAGTGATAAGCAGCGTGGTGAGATATGTACGTGTACTTGCAAATGATGACGGGATGGTGGCTAGCTGATGTTAGCACGCGTCCTTTCTCCCACTCGAGTAACCATGCTCGTCTAAGATGGAACCAAGTACGATTAGCAATAGGTGAGAGCACGAGCTAGATGAGGGCTTATCTTGATAGATTTACCTTGCCCGAGTAGACGGAGCTTTTCTGAAAACGTTTGTGATCCTTGCTGGACCGATCTCTACTTTTGAAAATGGCCCTGTCGCCCGGATCTTCTAACGCTGTAGTAAACGAAGGCTGTCAGCTCGTGCAGTCAATTAAGCGTAGTTCTCGGAGCCTCGGATTACCTGGAGACATTTATACTTGCACGTGAGACCGTGGTATTCTTGTTCTTGCCCATCTTCCGCAAATTAGTCATTAAATCGATGAGACGCGCTCATCGATCCCCATAGAAAATAAGTATAAACAAGTATAATTCCCATTATAGAAAATAAGTACGAGCGATCTTGTATAATAATAAAAAAGTGTAATAAAGGAAACAAAAAGGTGGAAACGTGTGAACAGAAGTGAACAAAAAGGAACGGAAGAAGAAGAAAAAGTTGAAACGATGAAAATATTCCGTTCCGGTAAAGAGCGTGCAGAAACGCCCAAAGGTGAATTTTTAAAAGTTTATGTGTAAACGAACTATGCAAAAACTATATAGAAAGTCGATCGAAAACGACTAAAGTCAGCTCGTGCATGTGCTACAAACACAAAAAAGAAAAAAAACATCTGATTCGTTAGCTCATTAGCGGTTTGAATTTTGAAGTTCGCGACGACGCCGAGTGGAAAATTAATTAACTACGTCGTTCACGGATGAAATCACAGAATTCGATTCCTAATCGCGCTTAGAAATCGCTAACACGAGCTTTTTGAATTCACGTGGAAATCACGGAAATCCGATTCTTAATACCTGCTCACGAGTCGAATAAATCGCAAGCAAATTCACCGAACAAATTGAAATCGCGCAAGAGGATTTGCTGATAACTAATAAAGAAATTGTTCGTTCGATTCTGATGTTAGCAGAGTAACGTGCAGCGCAATTTCTTGTTTAACAAAATTAACGCAAGAACCTGCGAAATTTATACCGTGCAAAAGACTCTCAATGAATTTTATCATGGGTCCAATTTTTTTATGAATAATAATTATGAAATTAATCAGGCGAACACGGAAGTTCGCGAAATTGCAGTCTCACCTTGAAACACGCAGAAGTCCTTTTGATCACGATTCGAAATCGCGAACGCGCGTACCGATTTGAATTACCAAATTGTTGCAAATTCAATAAAGTATTTCTTTCGTTCCTGGATTTGCAGGATTTCGCGGGGAGTTCCGGTGTTAACGACTGGATTATCAGTACTAACGTTGGTCGCTCTCGCAAGAAGTAATCGAGTATTCCCTCCCTTATTTCAGGAGGTGTCAGTCTTCCAATGTATCGGAATCGATAACAATTGATCTAATGTTTAAGGACGGAACGTCTTCGACAATATATGCCAAAACAACATTCTTAGGGAATACAGGATCGATCATTCAAACTCGGCAAGAAAAAAATCGACCGAGCGCGTTTGACAAACGTGCAAACAACGTCCGACTCGCACAGTCCGTTAGCGATTCAAAATTTTCAGTCCGTAACAAAAACGCAATTTCTATGTTTCTATCTTTCGTTGGAGGAAAAACGAGTGTTCGTAACATGCCATTAAAATATAATTTGCACACGGTGGATGATTGGGAGCGAACTGTGCCAAAGATCGAGATACTATCGGCACTTGATCGTAGCTGGAAGTCACGAACACACGAAATGAACAGTTTTAATCACGCTTCGACATCGCCAATGTATAAAAGTTCTCGGACTTTCGGCGCTTTGGAAATCGGAATCGAAAACGGAAATCGGAAACTCGATTGTTAATTACGTTTCGAAACCACGAACACGCGAGTCTCGAATTTCTGCAATTCGTCGAACACGCGGAAAATCGAAATCACGAGCGTACGATTCCCGAGTGTCCACCTCGAAAGTTGCGGAAATCGCGGAAATCCAGTCCGTTATCACGCTTCAAAATCGCGAATTCGATTGTGATTTTCAAAGTTTCGTACCTCGGTAGTCGGTGAAATTTTTCGAGTTCCGCCACTGCGTTTCTTCTTGGTGTTGCGCGTTTCTTGGCGAATTCCGGTCTAGCTGAACTTCACGAATGAGAAATTAGCATTAGCGGTCCTGCCGATCGCGGTCGCCGAAACCGAGTATCTTCTCCGCGAGACACGAGTTGGTTTCAGGGAAGAGAGGTCGTATTAAGAGTAAGACGTCAGTGTTCTCTTAATAACTAACAAAGTTCGACAACTGTAAAATTAAAAATTTTGCACAAACGTAGTTCTATTCGATGCCAATAATGAAATAATATTTCTCCCCCTTAAAAAAAAGATGGTTCTAGACGATTTCTTCAAAGAAATCTAGACTTTTCATATTATCATGAATTATGAAATTGTAATTATAAATTTCCTGTAATCTCAGCCGGTATCTCGATATATTCGTTGGAGATTTTGGTAAATTTCTAGTTCAGCCTAGGTTTTCTCTACTTTGGTTATTTGGTTATTTCTCTCTTTCTTTTTGTTTTGTTCCGGATGGCTCCACGTGTTCTTCTAATCTTCCATATTGACGAATATGAGATCTGGCGTTTCCTTTTTTGTTCATGTTCTATTAAAAAACACAGAACATTAAAAGCTAAACAAGCTAAACTCGTGAACTCTGACATTAATTTTCTTCTAGCTGTGTATTAATATTAATTCTCTCGAGAATCTTGCAATAGCGTACGCGTGTAGGAGTATTTTATGAAAATGAATAACAACGTGAGAATGACACGATAATTCACAGACATTTATCGGCCAAGTCTGCGAACAGTCCAAGAAATTTGCGCTGATACAGATTTCAGACGTTCCTTATCGTTTTTACAACGCGAAGTCGGAACGAATGATTGATGAAAATTCCAGGCGTGGAAGAGGAACGAGAGCAAAGTATTACGCGATCGGCACGATCGTAAATTTCGCTGTGAGGACGACGTCGCTGTAATTGTTCCAATTTTCGGAACGAGGCTCGATTTCTCTTTGACTCTATATTATTCTTCCGCATGCCGGCGATTATTACGGTGGTACCGAAGCGACGCCTCTGATTGAAACGCGAAGTTAGTCGCGTGCCAACGGAACACTGAGGCCGCCGCCGTGCATCGGTATCACGCGAAGGTATCGCGATATCCGACGACCAACGCGATCCAAGCCGCGAGGAACAGGGTAGCAGCGCGCTGTAATTCTCTGCGCGCGATCGAACTGCCATTTATTTTACCCTCTAATCACTGTCGATGTCTCCCCCTGAAACGTAACGTTTGTATTTGTAGGCAACCGACTCGCGTCGTAAACTCGACACACAAACTCCGGTTATTCGATCGGCTGTCTCGGAACAACCAAGACCAAGATAAAAATGAAATAACGTGCCGCAAAGCAAAA